ACACACACACACACACACACACACACACACACACACACACACACACATCCCAACATGGCAGTTGCTACTATTATCTTAGTGCAATTATAATCTCCATCTAGGGAAGCGTATAGTCAAATGCATCAATATCTAGGCAGTCTGGTCTTCTTGAGGAATTTGCTTCCAATTTACTGTACATTTGCTGACGTATGACACATAAATTCTTTTTGGATGCATGAACATTTTCTTTTGTTATGTTAATGGCATGATAAAATCAGGGACCAATGCAGTTTTTCCTCTATTTTCAAGTAGATGGAGTTTTCCAGGAAGAGCCCATAAACAATCTAACCCCAGAAGGCCTTTAGTACCAACCTATACCTAGAATTGATCTTCTGGATGACACCAGCCTGCCCCAACAAGCCAGAGTGAATCTGAACAGGCAATAGGGATGATCAGCAGCCTTTGCTACAGACAAAAGAGTCCTCTCTACATGCATGTTCTGCAACTTGTAATACTTATTCAGTTATTGATTCAATAATCCATTAACTGAGCATCTGCTACATCATAGGCATTTGAGAGACTATAAACCCAGTGAAGGAGTTAGGACATATTTATAAATAAATATAATTTACAATAAGAACAAAAAAGCTACCTCTACTGAGTGTGTACTATAGGCCCATTAAAATTCAAGGCTTTTTACCTATATTATTTCTAATATTTATTACTAAATACCCAAAGATGGTATTAATATATTTATTGTGTGGGTAAGAAAACAGTCACACACAGGATAAGCAACTATCCCGAAGTTGCTTGGCGCTTTCTTGAGAAGCCTCAAAATAGATCACTTAATTAACTAGCACCAACCAATCAGGTGGGTAGAAGGGGGAAAAGGTTTTTAACATCATCAAGAGAAGAAACATGAGAGAAGTGTGGTATAACTCTTGTGCAATGAGAAGCCGAGGCAGGTGTTTACAGGGTAGAGCAGTATGTTTGCTGTGGCTAATGGCTAGGGGAAATCTGTCAGCATATGCTAGGTCCTGTGTGAGAGGCAAAGATGTGATCAAGTACTGTTTCCAATAACAATGCAGCAGGAGTGATCTGTTTAAGCTGCAGCATACGAGATCTAAGGGAATTTTAAGAAAGAACTTTCTGCAGATAAAAGTTGAAAGGCATAAGGCTATCCTAAGGGAAACTGGGAAATGTTTATTTCAAGCACAACTGAGTTTTCATTAAGATACTATTACTCAGAAAAACTTTGCTAGCCATCTAACATACTGTCAAATTGAGACTTTTAAATGATTTGTTACAGTCATGAATTTTCTTTATTTCATATCATTCCCCCCAACATGATTTGTGTTGCATGGCACTGATGCTCTCTTCCCAAGCCTTATTTGTCCAGCACTGTAGACGGTTGCCACAGACCCTCTTGTTCAAGACTTGCTTCAGTGGAGAGAAATTTGGGTTCCCTCAACCTTCATTCATCAATCGGTCCCTCTAGTCATCAGTCCCTCTAGTCATTCAGTCACTTGTTTATTACTTCTTCATTCCATTCTAGCCCCTCTGTGTCTCCAGCAGTGAGAAATGGAACACCCCAAGCATCGCTAGAGTGGAGCACCTCCTGATTCCACAAGGCAAGCCCGGTGAGAACGCATCTCCAGGTTACACAGCTCAGAATGAAGTGTGAAGTGTAAAAGAATATACTAAATGACAAAAACAGATGTGGCATACCTTGGTGAAGAACTCAAAAGACGATAATGTTGGGAGATGGAAGTACAAAAGAAGAGGGGATATTAATATCTCAGGTATAGTAGTCTGCGCCCCTTTCAACCTGTGCTGTCGTGCTGTGAACACATTTCCGTATAGCAACACCGTACTAACCTGTGCTCTGTGCAGAGAACACAGTTATGTTAAAGAGATGGCATCCCCAACTTTGGCCTGCCTTTCTGCAAATGTAGACCCTACTCATGTGCATGTGCGTGCATGTGTAACAGCATGCATGTGCAGAAATCCACATAAACCTAAACACATAGGAAAAAATCCACTGAGTTGGTTGTCCTAGGTGTGATAAAACTTTTTATTTTTTTAAAAATCTTCCTCTTTTTTTGAAAGATTTTATTTATTTAATTGAGAGGGAGAGTGAGACAGAGAGGGGGGAGGGGCAGAAGGAGAGGGAGAAGCTGAGCAGGGAGCTCAATGCAGGACTTGATCCCAGGACCCTGAGATCAACTGAGCCACCCAGGTGCCCCATGATAAAACTTTTTAAATCTTACTTTCGGCTTAGCTAAATACTGGGGAAAGGAGGTTCTGAAGATACAGTCTCTTTAGAAAACTGTTGACATAAACTGAAATTTCTATGGCCTAAAGCTCTGTCGGTCAAGGTAAAATGTCAGCTTCTGACTGATGATAAAGTAGTACAATCAAATTTCAGCTCATTAGGGCCAAGACAGGAGGTGTAGAAACTGCAGGCTGAGGGGGAAGCACTGAGCAGCAGTGTTGTGTGGAAGACATGGGTCCTTTGAGCAGACTATCTCCCCCGCCCTCCTAAATGAAGGGAGTGTTTGCTGTGTGCAGGAAAAGAAGGAAGAGACAGCAGGAACTAGTCAGTTCACCCATATGAAAGTGCAGTTTCTAAAAGACAAAGACAGTCGAATATCTGAATTGCATATGGTTTGACCAAGTAATTGGTAAAAAATGTCAGCCCCTAGCTCACCCACAGCAGCAAGGCCTATGAACAGAAGGTAAACACTAAGCAAAGCAAAAAGGTACCAGACAGTTGCAGACAAGTTTTAAAAGAGATTTTCTGACAGATCTAAAACTGAGGTCCTAGCAGTCCTCTTCATAAACAGAAAGAAACATAAAAATGATGGCAATTAAAAACACTAGTTTTGGGATGCCTGGGTAGCTCAGTCAGTTGAGCATCTGCCTTTGGCTCAGGTCATGATCCCAGGGTTCTGGGATTGGGCCCCGCATCGGGATCCCTGCTCAGTGGGGAGCCTGCTTCTCCCTCTCCCACTCCCTCTGCTTGTGCTCTCTCTCTCTCTCTCTGACAAATAAATAAAATCTTTAAATAAAATAAAATAAAAATACTAGTTTTGCTTTTCAGAATATTTAAGCATAATGTTAACATCTGAGGATAAACAGAGAAGTAAATGTAAATTTTATCAGTATACATATTTTTTCTTTAAGAGCAGCGCTCCTGACTGCCTTCGAGCTGCAACTGGGGAGGGCTGGCCCCAGCAGCACCTGGCAGCTGAGGCTGAATTGCTGCTTTCTGTGTCCGGCCCAGGACGGCCCTCTGCCTCTGAATTCTCCTCCTTCCTTTTGTGCACAGGTTGGTGAGTTTCCCCATGTTCCCAGGACCAATCCTGATCTGAGGCCAAAGATACTTTGTTAAACCCAGCCGTTCATTCTAGGGTTCAAAGGTCCACACTTGAAGCAGTGCCCAGTGCTGATACCTGTGCTCATGCCTTGTTGTTCATGAGTCTAGGTGGCCTCGCAGCCTCCGGGTCTCCTAGAGAGGCATATGACTTAGTCCTTGTTCCTAAATGCCTCGTCTGCTGCCACAGCTAGAATTCGGGGGCCCTGCTGGGACAGAAGCCCTATGTTCCCATTTTCTTCTTGGCCCCTTCCCAGGACAGGATTTCTGCCTCCCAATCCCAACCCAGGAGCGAGGGTCCACTTTGCAGATACCACCCGGCTAGTCCTTCATGTGCTTCTCACCCCGAATTACTCTCTATTATTGTGCTTTGCTCTCTAATTGGGATCCCTACCTGCATCATGGTTTCTCCCATCTGGCCCTGATTCTGAGTCTAGATGATGACTACTGATCACCAAACCCCCTGGAATCCGGTTCTGCTCGTTCTACTAGATTATCATCTTGTATCAACAGTGTGTTCATCTTCTCATATCCAAGCTGCAAATTTGGTTCCTGCTTTTCTTTGACTACGCTGTTCTGCTGAAAATGATGGGCCATGCTCTGTCAAATCCTGGGCGGTGGCCAGTTTGGGCCAAAAGGTTATAACTGAGTTGTCACGACTTACGTAATGGTAGGTTCCCAACCAGTGTCCAGCTACACCCTCAGGGCAGCCAGGAGGGGCCTGGGGAGCCAGAGTCCCAGGTCAGTCCT